AGATCTTAACTGACTTAGGTAAATTGATCTGGATGGGTTTACGTATGGGTACATTAAAAAAAAAAAATTTATGTATTTATTTAATTTTGGCTGCATTGGGTCTTCGTTGCTGCGTGCGGGCTTTCTCTAGTTGCGGCGAGTGGGGGCTACTCTTCATTGCGGTGCGCAGGTCTCTCATTGTGGTGGCTTGTCTTGTTGCGGAGCGTGGGCTCTAGGCACGCAGGCTTCAGTAGTTGTGGCATGCGGGCTCAGTAGTTGTGGCACACAGGCTTAGTTGCTCCGTGGCATGTGGAATCTTCCTGGACGAGGGATCGAACCCATGTCCCCTGCATTGGCAGGCGGATTCTTAACCACTGTGCCACCAGGGAAGTCCCTGGGTACATTTTTTGAGAGAACATAATTCCCATCTAATGATTTCTGCTTCTCTGTGAAATAGCATATTAAGCTTATCTCCTGAGAGTGAGAATGTGGTAAGAGAGGGCGCTTGACAAGAGTGGTAAAAGTTTGAAATAGCTCTTACAGCAAATGAGAGGGGATGCTGATTAAAGACATATGGAAGGAGGGCCCACTGAAGGAAGGGACTGAATTTACATTGTTTCAGTACTTCTGGTGGTATGATTTTTCTTCAGCAGAACCCAGGGGCAGAAATAAAGGTGCAGTAAAGGCGTTCAGTTAGATTGATCCAGATTTAGGATTTTGTTGAATACATGTGATAGAAAGCCTAAATTGTAGGGAGGACGAAAAGCAAATGAAGGTTTTGATATGAGTGGTTTCGATAATGGATCAGAAAGACTCTGGAATTGGTAGAGAAAGAATTGAGTACTAAAAGAGACTATATGTGAGTTAGAGAAAATAAAGAACTGAGATCTTGATGAAATTGAAGGACAGATATAATGGAATGGGTGGTTGTGGTCAGAAAGGGTGATTTTAAAATGTAGAAAGAAGTGGTTCTTGGAGGTCGCTGCATTTGAGGTCGAGACTAGAAAACATGATGAATCATCTGTCTGGACAGTAAAATTTTTCAGGATAATAATAAAACTTAGGGTGGCTTTGCTCAAGGTTCCAGATAGTAAATTGATTGGGCCCTGACCTGGACCTTAAAAAAGGTTGATATGGGTGAGTTTATGGGCTGAAATTACTTATTTCCCAGGACATTCGCCTAGTGATGAAAGTGGCAGCAGAGCCTCTTTTCCAGTAGATGGGAGGACTTAGGTGTATCTGGGCTGGTTGATGAAAAGAGTCTGTCTGCAATAATAATGTAGAGGAGGTTAAGCAATTTGCTTGCCTAAGGTCACATTCTGATTGGATTCTAAAACCCATTCTCCTTCCACTAACCCTGGTGTTTTTGCAACAGATTGAACTACTTCAACTCAATTTTTTATCTTCCCAAATGTTTGGGAGGACAGTTTTGTTTTATTTGAGCTTCTCCAGAGTTAATGGTTTTTTTTAGTGCCAAATACAAAGTGAAGTAGAAATTTACTAAAGGAATACGTAGAACAGAAACTTAACCTGAAGCAGTCAAGGTTTTTAGGCATTAGGTTCAGTAACTTGATCCATTAGCTCATTTGTCTGTGTATTCATCATCTATCCTTGTAGTAACAGTTACACAGTTTGAGAACACTGTATTTGGAATAAGTTGTACTAAGTATAAATTGACTCATTTGGTCTTATTTATTGTCTTTTGTCATCTCCAGCTGCCTATCCCCACCGTTTGAATCTCTTTTACCTTGCCAATGATGTCATACAGAACTGTAAAAGGAAAAACGCAATCATATTCCGTGAATCGTTTGCTGATGTACTTCCAGAAGCAGCTGCTCTAGTGAAGTAAGTAAATTCTTACTCCTCTTTGGGATCTAAGCTTAGAAAATTTAGAATTTTAGTTTCCCGTTAGTAAGAACTGCAATAGTTGCACACGCTTGAAGATCCAAGGATATTTTGTCCAAATTGTTCATTGTAACTTTCCTAGTAATACACTTTTCTTTTAAAGACTCTTTCCTCCCTTTTTGAAAACTTGTCTGTTATTTATGCTCTGCCTCTTCTCTCCTAACTTGACCAGGAGAGTGTATCTCCTGGTCATACTCTCGGGCAGTCTTTCTAACTGCTTTTTCTGTTTTTGTGTTTTTTACACATTTCCATTTTTCTTTCAGAGTCTTTCTGAAATCTTGCCCCCTTCATGAAATCTGTGTAATTAGGGAGAAATGAAAATATTTATTCTTAATTCCATATTGATTTACTCCATTAGCAAAGTTGTGTCCAGCATTTCTCAAAGTGCTGGAACACTTATATATATATATATATATATATTTTTTTTTTTTTTTTTGTGGTATACGAGGGCCTCTAACTGTTGTGGCCTCTCCCATTGCGGAGCACAGGCTCTGCTCACGTTGCGGAGCACAGGCTCTGGACGCGCAGGCTCAGCAGCCATGGCTCACGGGCCCAGCCGCTCCGCAGCATGTGGGATCTTCCCAGACGGGGTCACAAACCCACGTCCCCTGCATCAGCAGGCAGACTCTCAACCACTGCGCCACCAGGGAAGCCTGGAACACTTATATTTGATCTTATTTTTGTCCTGTATTAATAGTGTTTTCCTTGTGTTTCATCCATATTTGTAAGCTGTTTGCTTGGTGTGAGAAACACACACATCTACACACAATTGGAGGATAAACAATTATATGGAAAAATCAAAATAGCTAAATATTTCCTCAAATTTTGTACTTATTAGCGTAATATATATTTGAATATATGACATCATATATTATTGATCCATTTGTTAGTATTAACCCAGTTAGAATGGAATGATCCTTGTTCCTTCCTTTGGATTGTAAACTTAAGATGTCTGCTTTGGTATTACAAAAGATTAAAATGTGGTCTTATTTTTATATACTAAGTAATAAATATTTGTACACATCAGAAGTACATAAAATAATAACAGTAATATCACCTACATTTATTGAGCAGTCATAATTGACCAGATATTTTTATTATTATACAAAGTGCTTCGTGTACTTCAGGTTGTTTAAACCTGAGAACAACATTTAAAGTGGCTATTACTATTACCCCCATTTTAAGGAGGAGGAAACTGGTTTAGAGACATTAAGTAGCTTGCCCTAAGCTCTCACAGCTACCGGGTTGGGGCGGGGCTGGTATTTGGCAGAATTCCTACCCAAGCCTGTCTAGACCCCGAGGCTTATGTTCTTTGCCACCAAACCACTAGTCTGTGCTGCTTCTTTACATATATAAATCCAGTATAATTTTGAGTAAGAAAAGCAGTGTGCTACATGATCTCCACTACTTTTTACAGAGTTTCTGTACTACTACTATTTACAGAGTTTCTGCTGTAAATATCATTATAGTCTTAAAAACTTAGCCTAATGTATCCTGTACTTAGATTTCATGACCTAGTTCATGGATTAATATAGGGTTATCACCTTTTATTTTACCATGTAAAGATATTTTTAAAAACAACTACTTTGTATTACTGTTTCACAGAAAAATGTAGGAATGGCATAATCTCAGAATAAAGTGCAGTCCTTTAAAATTTTAAGCTCTGAAAATGTTTTTAACTCAATGAAGGATATCTTGAGAAACCTATGATAAAATCAGACTTAATGGTGAAACAATAAAAGCATTTCAGGACAGTGATGCCCTCTATCATTATTACTGTTCACCATTATGTTGAGATTCCATTCATTTCTAAATAAATAAATAAATAAATAATAATGAGAAGGCATTTAGAAGAGATAGAATTATCATTATTTGCAGATAATAGGATTACCTACATCAGGGGTGGGCAACCTTTTTCTATAAAAGACCAGGTAGTATTTTAGGCTTTGCAGGCCATAGGATCTCTGTTGCCACTACTCAACTCTGCCATTCTAGCATAAAAGCAGCCGTAAGCAAATGGGTGTGGCTGTGTTCCTAAAACTTTATTTACAAATCAGGCAGCTGGCCAGATTTGGCTTGAGGTTTGTAGTTTGCTGACCCCTGGCCTACAGAGAATCAACTAATAAGAGAGTTCAGTTAAATAGCCAGATTCAAGTTCAATGTAGAAAAGCAGTAGATTTCCTATATATGCTAGCAGTAACCAATTAAAAATGTAATTAGAAAAAAAAGATTCCTTTTGCAACAAGAAGTACTGCCTCCCCCCCCAAATAAAGGAAACCCCACCCAAAAATAAATATAAGTATGTAAGGCTTTTATAGAGAAAATTTAATAAGAAGACCTGGATAAATGAAGAGATAGATACATACTTTTTGTTTTTTTGTGTGTGGTACACGGGCCTCTCACTGTTGTGGCCTCTCCTGTTGCGGAGCACAGGCTCTGGACGCGCGCAGGCTCAGCGGCCATGGCTCACGGGCCCAGCCACTCCGTGGCATGTGGGATCCTCCTGGTCCAGGGCACGAACCCGCGTCCCCTGCGTTGGCAGGCGGACTCTCAACCACTGCGCCACCATAGAAGCCCAATGCATACTTTTGAAGGGAAAGATTTGGTATTGTTAAAAATATGATTCTCTCCCAATATGTAATCTATAAATTCATTGTGTAATCCCAGTCAGAATCTCAGTAGGGTTTGATGTGGAAGGATATATATTCAAGATAATTGTTTATAAGAACGTCAAAGTCAGAGTTCCCCTGTCAATTATCTGTATATATTTTAAAACAATAATAGAATCAGGAGTAGAAGACTATATCAGTGAAACAGAATATATTCTCACTTATAAAGAAATTAATTATAAAGTATGTGGTAAATGAGAGTATATTAGGATATGAGCTTTAGTATTCCATAAACAACCCCATCCCATCCCCCTTTTAAATTTCTGTTCACGGTTATACTTTAGACTCATTTCTACCCTTTTGTGAATTCATTTCTCTTAATTTAAGGCTATCATTTAAATCCCTTTAATTGAGGAGGGGCAAATGTTTAGAAGTTCCAGACAATTAACCCAGGTGAGTGAAGTGGGTGGACTGTAAGGAAAAACCCATCTAAAAGGGGCAACAGCTACTCGGCCCTAGCCTATGGCCATAAAGAAACATGAGTCCACTGTTGACCTATGCTTTCAGACCTTCCAAAGACTTTCTCATTTTTTAAGCTAAGTCAAAATCTAGATTCTTATATGAAGCCTCCCAATTTTTAAATTTTTTAATTCTAAAAAATTTATTGCTAGCCAAACAAAACACATGTGATGACTAAATTTTGGAGTTACAAATAAATTTTAGTAAGTGGGTGAATTTGCAAATACAGAATCTGCAATTAATGAGAATCAACTGTATCTAGAAATAAATCTTAACAAAAGATGTATAAGATCTCTATTGAAAAAATTATAAAACATAATTGAGAAACAGTATAGAAAACCTAAAGAAATAATTTGTGGATAGGGAAGACTCAATATTTAATGTCATTTCTTCCCAAATTGATTTATAAATCCAAAGCAGTCTTAATTAGGCTCTCAGTAGTGTTTTTCCCCCCTATTTTATTAATTGATTTTGAATTTTGTATGGAAGTGCAGAGAGCTCCTTCTTCCACTTCCCCCACAAAGAGAAAGCCTAGAAACTCTTGAAGAACAACAAGGTGGGAAGACTGGCTCTACCAGATTTCAAGACTGATTATAAAGCTACAATAAATAAAGCAGTGTGATATTTGCCCAGAGATAGCCAAAGAAACTGGTAGAACATAATACAAAGTCTAGAAACAGACCAGTATATATATATACTTGGTCTCTGTATGAAACTATTAGGTAGTAGAAAAAGAATAACTTCTTCATAAATATTGCTGGGACAAATTGGCTATATAGAAAAAATTAGATCCCACTCACATCATACACAAAAATCAATTGCATATTAAATACTTAAAGATGAAAGAACTACAAATCTTTTGAAGACAATATAGGAGAATATTTCATGACCTTACCTCATAAGATTAATAAATACAGCTACATTAAAATGAAGACCCTTCCATTTAATTGAAAGACACTATAAAGAGTGAGAAGACAAAGGGCTTCCCTGGTGACGCAGTGGTTAAGAATCCGCCTGCCAATGCAGGGGACACAGGTTCGTGCCCTGGTCCGGGAAGATCCCACATGCCGCGGAGTGGCTGGGCCCGTGAGCCATGGCCACTGAGCTTGCGCGTCTGGAGCCTGTGCTCCACAACGGGAGAGGCCACAACAGTGAGAGGCCCGCATACCACAGGAAAAAAAAAAAAAGTTTATGTACAGATCTCGCAATTCCACCCATAGGCTTTTACCCCTGAGAAACTTTTGCATATGTGCAGCAAGATCAGTGGAAGGGCATTTTCATAGCAACATTGTCTATGGTAATAAAAATTTGGGGAGTTCCCTAGCGGTCCATTGGTTAGGACTCTTGTGCTTCCACTTTAGGGGGCCCAGGTTCGATCCCTGGTTGGAGAACTAAGATCTCACAAGCAGCACAGCACAGCCAGAAAATAAATTAATAAAGTGAAAACCTTAATAAAAAAAATTTGGAAACATTTTTCTACAGTAAAGTGAATGAATTGTGGCATACTGGAATACCAGACAGCAAGGAAAATTAATGAATTTCAGTTATATGCAATGACATAGACAAATCTCACAAAATATTAATTGAAAGTACAAAGGAATATTTATGTATATATAGTATGAATCCATTTATATAAAGTTCAAATTTGGCAAAAAATGAACTCTTGTTTATACCTACCTATATGTTAAAACAAAGAAAAGTGGGCTTCCCTGGTGGCGCAGTGGTTGAGAGTCCGCCTGCCGATGCAGGGGACACAGGTTCGTGCCCCGGTCCGGGAAGATCCTACATGCCGCAGAGTGGCTGGGCCCGTGA